ATTCGGCACCTCCTTCGCCGGCACGGAGCCAGGCTGTGAGCAGCACCGGGTGGAAAGTCCCCGGCAGCAAGAGGCGGCGAGGCACAGCAGCACTTTCCAACCCGTCTGCACCCCAGAGAAGATGCCTGGGGGCTCCGGTGGGCTCAAAGAGATGTTTCCCAAAGGAGAAGGGGGCTGGCTGAAACCCAGACAGGGGGAGCAGGAGTCCCCTTACCCAGGGAGGAGGAAGGTCAGCCCGGCCCCCCAGGAGACCCCCCATGGGGGACCACCAGCTCCCATCATTATAGGAAAGGCAGATGACTGCAAGGTCAAGGATGCAGCTAAGGAGCCTGTCCCTTCTTCTTCAGCTGCCTCCCCCCTAGAGGGGCTGAAAGACCGGAGGGATGGTGAAGTTTCTCCTTCCTCCCCACCCATGCCAGTGATCAACAATGTCTTCAGCCTGGCACCTTACCGAGACTACCTGGAGGGGACCGAGAGCTCAGCCCAGGTCCCCTTCCGCAGGGAGCATCGGCAGGGGGACACCCCTCCCCAAAACACAGAGGGCAGCCGGGACCCTGCTGCACTCGGAGATGTCTCGGTGACTTCCAGCCTGCTGCCCACAGGGATGGCAGCCAGCCGGGCACTGAAGACGGGCGGGGGCGCAGCCCAGAGCCAAGGGGAAAGCTGTTACAGAAGGGTCCCTGAAAAGCCAAAGCTTGTGCCCCGAGACCCGGGGTCTCAGGAGGGCAGTCCTGGTGGGGTGGGGAGTGGGGATCCGGCCCCCGAGGACATGGTGCTGGACCTCAGCTTGAAGAAGAGACTGGTAAAAGCCAGGAAGACCCAGGGACCCATTGGCTGTGCAGAGGGGACACCGAATGGGGAGGATGTGGAGGAGGAGAAAGAAGATCCAGGGGGGAAGGTGGGGGTGGGAGAGGGGGCAAAGCCCCAGTCGCTGCCCTTGCTGCTCGACGTGGGCTCTTGGGACAAGAGCAACTTCCAGAGCTCGGCCACCTTCATGTTCAAAAAATTCAAGATCCTGCGCTCCATCCCACCCAGCACTGTGCCCCCCCAGCAGGCTGGCAGCCCCCGTGACCCCCAGCCCAGCCCGCTGCCACCGGCCCCCTCCAGCAGCATCCCCACGCCACCGCGGACCCCCCCTCCCTCCCCACCAGCCAGCAGCCCCTCAGCCCTGCAGCCCGGCCCCCAGCCCAGCACCTCTGCTCTGCAGGGGGCTCGCCCAGACCTGCAGCAGCCCCCGCTGCTCGAAGCCCCCCGTGCACCGAGAGAGGAGAGCATCTCGCTGCCCGGGCAGTGCGAGGCCCCTGGCCCACAGACGTCCACCAGCCAGTATTTCACCACCCTGCACACTTGGCTCTGTGACGTTATTTCATGCTCGGTGTCCAGGTCCCCCCCGGAGCTCCTGCGGGAGTGGTTGAAGAAAGCAGAGCTGGCGGAGGAGCTCGGAGAGATGCCCAAATCCCCACCCAAGCCCAAGAATGGCTCCAGGATCCCCGAACCTCAGAAGCCCACCAAAGGCAAGGAGATCTGGCTGGCTTTCCAGGATGCGGCCACTCTCCTCACCAACCTGCTCTCTCAGCTGGAGACCTTCATGTTCGCTCGCAAGTGTCCTTTCCCCCATGTGGTCCGGGCAGGGGCTGTCTTCATCCCCATCCATGTGGTGAAGGAGAAGCTCTTCCCCAAGCTCCCTGGGGCCTCCGTTGACCAAGTGCTGCAGGAGCACAAGGTGGAGCTGCGCCCCACCACGCTCTCAGAGGAGAAGCACTTGAGGGACCTGGACCTGAAGAGCTGCACCTCGCGCATGCTGAAGCTCCTGGCGCTCAAGCAGCTCCCTGACATCTACCCAGACCTGCTTAACCTCCACTGGCACAACTCCATCAGGCAACAGCTTGGTAAGTAGCCCAGCATCTCCTGTGGAGGGCTGGTGACACCAGTGGGTCCCTGGGACTCTTCCACAGGGAATCTCCAGCTGTGTCTGCCTCCCAGATGCTGCTGTTTGGCGGGAAGATCCATCGCTTGCATGGTCCCTCCGCATCCTTGTCCTACCAAGGGTTCTGCAGAATATTTAGCTTTTCTCCATGGGTTGTGGAGGGAGAAAGCTTGAGCTCTGGGGCAGGGGGTGTGGAGCTGAGGGGGTTGTCCCTGCCTGCCTGGGTGAGAAAAATCATCCCAAGGTTATTTGAGGAGGTGTTGGTCACCTCCAGGCCACCTCTCCCCCTCCAAAGGCAGTGGGGCCGGGCAGCTCAGGAACACACTGGGAGCGGGGCAGTGTGTGCGCCACGTGAGAGACCTGCCACCCACGGCTGTCCCATCCCACTAGTGACAGTCCCACCACCCTTCCCTGTCCAGATGCCCTTTTGCTGCTGCTCAAGGCCATTGCCAACAACTTTATTTCTTACAGGTTCAAGCTCGCAGGCTGGCCGGCGTCCCTCCAAGTAGGTAACTCTTCTGGTGTGTGCGTTTATGTGTATTTATAGGATTTACATGTAGTTTTGTGAAGGTGTGTGCATATTTGTGTGTGTCACTGTAATGACAGGGAGCTTGGGCTGGCAGGGGAGGAGCACACAAGTGGCCCTGCTGCCTGGGCTGGGCTGGAGGGGGTATTTGTGGCTGGAGTGGGGGTTATTCATTATTCAGGACGGAGAGTTGAAGACCCTGCCATCCCTAACAACTCTTTCCTCTCCCAGGTAGCCCAGGCGTGGAGGCACTGAAAGCTGATGGCAAAGTGATAGCCACAGAGAGCACCAAGAGAAAGGAGGCACTAAGGAATATGTCAGGGGCAACAGCCCAGCCACCCGCCCGCCAGGACAGGAAAGGGAAGGTTATTCATTATTCAGGACGGAGAGTTGAAGACCCTGCCATCCCTAACAACTCTTTCCTCTCCCAGGTAGCCCAGGCGTGGAGGCACTGAAAGCTGATGGCAAAGTGATAGCCACAGAGAGCACCAAGAGAAAGGAGGCACTAAGGAATATGTCAGGGGCAACAGCCCAGCCACCCGCCCGCCAGGACAGGAAAGGGAAGGTCCCCCTTGTCCCCAGAGCGGGGTCCCCTCCTGGCAGCGACGCGGCAGGCCGGGGGCGCCCGTGCCCGAGGATGGGAACAGGTCCTCCCGGGATGCTGGGGCCTGGAAGATGATGCCTGGGGTGGAGAACGGCGGCAGGGATGCACAGCGCCGAGATGCTCCAGGGCCCTGAGCAGGGCTGGCTGGCGTGGTAC